CGCCCTGGCCGGGGCCGAGCCGCAGCCGCCCTTCCAAAGCCGCCCACGGCCCCGGTGCCCTATCTTCGGCCCCCTGGCATTCAGGAAGCGAAGTTGCCTGCCAGGGAGCCTGTGGCTTTGGCGATAAGTTCGCAGTTGCCCGCGTGGAGGCAGGGTGCCTTATCTCGGGAACGGCGAGCTGGCGGGGCGACGCAGAGAGAAGCAGCGTTTGCTGGCGGCGATAGGGCTGCTTGTGGTGAGGCGCGTTCTCCTGGAGCGTTTCTGCTTCTGCCCATCGCTGGGTGCGTTCCCAGTTGAAACTGGCATTTGCTCCTAGGCTGCGAGTGCGACTCCTTTTTTCTCCCTGAATGAAGATTCCTATGAACCCGACGTGATCGCATATAAGCAGCATGGAATACTTAAAGTAACCAGATACAAAATTTGTGATGGTTATTTTAATAAACACGCGATTCAGTAGTTCCTTCTACGTTTTTTTCTCGGTATTGTGTAATGTAAGCACATTACTCATGCTGAGTAGTTGCACGTAAGCTTAAGAGTTACATCAGTCAGCACAAGAATAGTTTTGTCCTGGTAATTAGTCTCCAATCATCCTCTTGTGTTTATCTACTTTTAATTTTGGGGAGAGAGTTAGCATAACTAAGCAGGCACTAAGCAGAGTTGCTCTGCTCACCTGCCTGACAAAGGCAGGACACTTAAGACAAGAGTATCCATCAGTTCCAGTCTTTTCAACCTCAGATGAGGCATCCCAGAGCAAATGACACTTATAATGGAAGCTGTGATCAGATAAGGAGCGTTTAAAATCAAAAAACGGTGTAATATGAGTTGATGTCACCTAGCAATTGTAGATGTAATCTGTCAGTTGGTATGTGAGACGGGCTTACAAAAATGAATTACATTCTATAGCTTGAATTCACATTTCAGAATGTTTTTTCACCTCCTGTCAAGGTTGGGGAAAAAAATATGAGAAAGATTCCCTTTTAGGGAACACTTTTTTTAAAATAGTATCCTGAATGCCTCTTCAATAAAAGGTTCAAGGTTTCAGTTACAGCTACAGATGCTGATCTTTAATGTGAATCTGTTCATGTCACTCTGGTAATTGTACAAGAATTGCGAATAAAAGATAATCTGTTAAAAAAAGAAAAAAAGAAACAGACTTCAGCTAAGTTCTAAACTTGCCCAGGATGTATATGGTTGTTAAATAACCCATAGAAACAGAGGCAAAGGACCTGGATCCATTTGTGCCTTCCCCGTTCAAAGTCAACTTCTGACAGCTGCCAGATAGACAACTTTTCCATGAAAATAAACTACACACTTCCAAAACTAACATTTTGCCTGCACACAGAATTCCAGTAACGTGTCCTCTGCTTGAGATACAATAGGGCTACTCATATTGCAACTGGGATCCAAAACTTGGTAAGATTGTAGGAATCCACTGCAAGAGCTGGCAGCAGCACAACGCTGAGGCAGCTTCAGAGTCAGCTGTGCGTAAAATCCACGTATTGGCACGTGCAGCAGATATTGGGTCTATTCCAAAAACACTGTAGTTCACACTTGACCTTCTAGCTGAGATTTTCTAGGCAAATGAAGACAACGTGACATAAGTTTTAGAGTGTGTTTTTGAAGGAATGAGCGTGCAAGCGCTGGCAATACCATGACAGAGAGCTCAGCCCCTTTCCAAAGCTGACTCAGACCTTGGAAGCCCAGATTCATAACACTTCTGGGTATCCCGACGCACATGACAGAATTTGCTTTTTTAAACTTGTGACAACAAAATGTGGAAACACTCTGGAGACCAGGCTCCAGGTGCAGCAGCGTACTGCGAACCCGTGGTCACAGAGCCTGCCTAAGAGGATTTTGCACTCTCCAGTTCATTTCCTCCCTCCCAGTTGCTCCATCCAGCTGTTTGCCTGGCCGCTGTCTAAGCAAAACCGTTGCCTCAGCAGAGAAGGGGGCAGGGCCATTTGTTTTCTGCAGGACTGGTTTTGGGGTTTTTTTTCCCCAGACCAGATCATTTCTCAGATGCTCTTTAGAGTACAACTACGTAAGCAAGTCGGTCAGCACAACTGAAGGTGCCGTGCACTCCTATGGAGGCCGGGAACATTTCTGCTTTGCTGCAGTGACCAGAAAATAAGAATTTCTTAAGCCAGCTCTGCCCTGGGAGGATTCCTAACACGCACCACACTCGGATCATGCAAATAACCACCATCAACCAGTTTATATAGTGTGCATCTAAGGAGCAAAGGCAGCAATCTCTCAAACTGGTGGGTAGGAATACAAGGAGCAGAAAAGTGGAACAGGTTCTTAACCATTGTATCTGTTGTTTTGGGGGGGTGGGGGGCGGGGAAGACAAAACTGTCTCTCTGAAGTGCCTAACAACTGCATTTTCCCTGTGAACTGTTCCTGCTTCTGGGACGGAACCTTCCAGGTGGTATGACAGGGAAGATGAGATGAAAAGCAGTTCCTCTCCATGCCCACCACTTCTTTCCAAGCTAACAGTTCCAGAATGGAGTTCGACCATCTGTTCAGACTTTGTGAAGAAGTCAAAGAACATCCCGAGGTTTCTGTGTAGTTTTAGCACTCTAGCGTCCTTTCCAACAATGACAAAATGTAAAAAAAAAAAAAAGTTATCCAAACTTGATAAGGAAATAGAGATTTTTTTAAAATTCTGGACTTCCTAGAAAGGATTTATATCTGATAGAAACGCAAGTTCTGTGGAAAGCTGTAGGGGAAAGTATTCTACAGAACTATGTCATCTTTGTCATAATAGCTGCTCTTTAAGAGCTTCAAAGTCCACCGTTTCTGATATTGAGCCCAATTCAGAGATGATTTAACAAAGACTTTGCAACAGGGACTTTTGCTATGCCTGATCCAAAAGAGAGCTCTTGATCAGTCACCCTGTTAAAAAACTGAGCAAGGAGAGGGTAGATACCCATTCCACCTCTGAATTCATGGCCAGAGGTTCACCACTAGAGAAGCTCAGAATAAACTCAAGCTGCCAGATGGCTGATTCATTCTTCCAGGCAGGAGATTCATGCTCGTGCTGCTTCCTTTTCAGGGAAGTGGAATAGGAACCCCCTCTGCAATTCTGTTTCCTCTTTTCTGTTTAAAAAAAAAAAAAACAAAACAAAAGCACACAATGTTTTACTATTCCTTTTATTTTTTAAAAGTATTTGCTTATGAGAATTGGAAAACAAACCAGAATTTCTATACTG